CGTTGAGAAAGGGGTGTCAGTTGCATTTAGGGACCAGTTGATCCAATCCAAATAAAATTGGTCCTAGCACAGAACCCTGTGGAAAACATGAACAAACTGCAGACTGTTAAATAGATGGAGCTCTTCAAATAAACAATATCTCTGCACATGCCCAAGTGCTTTACAGCTACTCTTTGAAGAAATTTTGAGATAAAATGAAGATTTGAGCCTATTAATAGAGAGAGATTGATCAGAGCATTAATCACAATGTATCAAATGTTTTAAGACAATAGTGACTAAAACTCCTCTTTTGTCCCTGCTCGTCTCTCCATCCAGACCATCTTTCTCCAGGACAATGTGATTGGTCAGATCCGTCGACAGGACCTCACCATGCTGAAGCACCTGCACTATTTGTACCTGCAGGTAATAAATGCACATACACTCTTAAACACTTACACTAAGACTCTTTAGCCTTCAGTTTTAATCTGTTGACTACATCACAGTTTATACTAAGTATGGATTTGTATACATTCTAGCAATGGTATACGCTGTGTTTACTTCACTCAGTAGTATCAAATTATAGCGAAGTATTACCCTCCAAAATGTTTTAATGCAACAGAGGAAGGATTTCACTGAGCAGGTTTAAGAATACAGCAGGGTCGATGTCTTGTAAGGCTGCAGCAAAAGGTTGTTATTGCTAACTAAAACTAAATTAAAGTGGGTTGAAATTTTGGTTAACTGAAATAAAAATAAAAACTAGACTTTTCAAAATACATTGCCAGTCATGGCAAAAACCCATATAGGCCAAAATTGGCTCCAAAGGCAGATGTCTACCAAATACATGGCCTTCTATTTATACTCAAATTACATTACAGTTTTCATTGTTTTTAAAACCCAGCAGTGCACCTGCAACCACTTCAGAGTTTGAGGTATATTATATTAGAGGGCACTACTGTCACCATGAGCTGCTAGCCTGCAGCAGAGATAAGTAGTTGTAGACATCTAATGAACTTACCTCTTTCTGACTCCACACCGCCAGAAATGTTTAATTTTCAACTCTGTGGTCATCATCTCCAACCAAAGCTGAGAACATGTATAGTAACACTTTCCTTACTCCAGCAAACAGACATTAAGAAAATCACTGGCGTTACCTCTTATGAATCTATTGTACGTATTTTTTGAAACAGTGAAATTGTGAATTGAGTCACTCTCCTCCTTGTGCCAAAAACACTGTCAAATGTTAGACTGCTCCAAAATAAAAGGATCACAACAGAGAAGACAGAAAATGTAAATGGCCTGTATTTATATAGCGCTTTACTAGTCCCTAAGGACCCAAAGCGCTTTACATATCCAGTCATCCACCCATTCACACACACATTCACACACAAATGTGTTTCAAAGGCATCATCAGAAGTATTTTGAATTTATTTATTTAAAAGGGACAGTGCAGTTTAACATAGTTCAAGTACAAAACATGAAACTGATGTAACGCACATAAGTTTATAGCTATTGCTGATTTTCAACAATAGTCCCTTGTTGGGCTTACAATCAAAATAGGTACATTTTACAATAAAACATAAATTTTCATAAAACCAAATGACATCATAGTAGTGGTAGTTCCAGGAGATTAACCAGAAGCAGACATTTTTCTAGTTTTCTTTTCATGTCCCTCTTCCTCTAGAACAACACCATCTCAGCCGTGGAGCCTGGCTCTTTCCAGAGCCTCGGTCAGTTATTGGAGCTAGCACTGAATGGAAACCGCATCCATTTGGTGACAGCTGACATGTTTCAGGGACTCGAACATCTACGCATTCTGTACCTGGCACGAAACGACATCACACGGCTGCTGGACTACACCTTTCGTGGCCTACCGGTATAGTCTCACTTTCCTGTTCAACACAGCAGCTTTGCTGAGCCCTATATGAAGCTTCATAGATAATGTACATCATTCTCTTGATGTCTCAGCGTCTGCAGGAGCTCCACTTACAGCATAATAGTATAGAGACGTTAGCCGACCAGGCTTTAGTTGGTTTGACTTCTCTGGCTCTGCTGGACCTGAGTAGGAATAACCTCCACACAATTGGCCCTGCAACACTGCGACCTCTAGTGAGCCTGCAGGTCCTGCGTATCACAGGTGAGGCTCCTTTACTGATGACATTGGAACCCATGTTGTGTTTTGGGTTTTTTGTTGGGGGGGGTTTATACAGTTTCATGCATAATAACATCTGTTCACTGAGTTACAGATAGCTACTCATGTAGAGCCTAGTAATATGGTAATCATCATGACTCTTTAGGGCAGAACATTAAGTGGCTTCTGTCTTGTGCTATGCTGCAGATAATCCATGGCGCTGTGACTGTGCGTTGCACTGGCTGAGGACCTGGATTGATGAAGAGGGTCAGCGTCTGCTTAGCTCTGCAGAACGTCGACTAGTTTGCATCGAGCCACCACGCCTGTCCCATCTGAGCTTGGTGGAGGTTCCTCTCAACAGCTTGGTCTGTATCCCTCCCTTGGTGCAGCTGGAGCCCAAGAGGCTTGCAGTGCATCTGGGAGAGAGCCTCAGGGTGTCGTGCCATGCCACTGGTTATCCTCGGCCACAGGTAATGATAATTAAAGTTTTAATATTCTTTTAAATTATTTTGTTTTCCCCACCATTTGCCATAAGTCCTGCCTATCAAATGACTGAATTTGTTTGTACTGGTCTTCTTTGACTGTTCCAAATACACTGCATGCAATCAGTGTGGTCAGCTAAAGTGGTTACTTCAATTATCCTCCTTTTTTCATTTATTTAAAACATCTTGAATGAATCATCAGTTACATACTCCAGTTCAGGTTGGCAGTACTGTAACAGTAGTATCTGTTTTTCTTTTTGTACTGTGATGGTTTATCCTTTGTAAGACCACTGAAGAAAGAAATGTCAATACCTTTTGCAGGTGACCTGGAGGAAAGCTTCCCAGGGTAAAGTAGTCCTTTCTCCCAGAGGCCTGGTTCAGGAGTTGGATGCAGGTGGAGGTGGAATGGGAGGAGCAGAGGAGCCCTCGCAGGAAGGCAGAGTCAGTCTCCAGAAGACTAATGGCGAACTCTTTGACCCCGACACTGGCAGTGGCATGTTGTTTCTCAGTAACGTAACTGTGGCTCATGCAGGCTTCTATGAATGTGAAGCATGGAACGCAGGAGGTGTGGCTAGAGTCACCTTTCAACTCGCCATCAACTCATCAACATCCTCCTCATCTTCTTCCTCCATCTGGGCTTCATGGTCCCAGGTGTCTCTACCGTACTCACCTGCCTGGCCTCGACTGAGGAGCCACGGTCCTGCTTTGGGCTCAGATGTAAGCCGGGAACCCCTGTATGCTCTGGGCAGCATGGCCTTCAGTGCTCTGGGAGCTGCCACTCAGACTGCCATTGCTGTGGGCATCTCACTGCTGACTTTGACTGCTCTGCTGCTAGTCGCCATGATCTACAGTCGACATCACCAACGGGACAAAGAGGCTGATGGGGCTGAAAAGGTGCATATATGTTCAATACTACAAATGTGATTCGCATATTTAAAAGTAGAATAAAGGCATTTATCCTCATAGTAGATAGGAATTTATGAATGAATTTTCAATTATTTGTCTGTGTCAGTGTAACACAACAAAATCAGAGGAAGCACAACAAGATGACAGAAGTAAAACTGCATTGACACACACAAATGTTTTGTCAGGTGAGCATTTGACATGGACCATCTGTTTGTCGAAAGAGTTTTGTTACAACTGAAGTAAAGTGCGATGTCGCAAATACAGACAAATGTATTGTCCATGTAAACAGTGTTCATGTTAACAAATTTTTGGCACAAATGGTACCTTATGACCACATGTGTCAAGATATGTTTTATGAGCTTATGTTACGATCAGTGTATCTGGTTAAAAATAACTGTTCTTGTTATAACTTTAAAATTTGTTATGTGTGATCAAACAAATCTGCAGCAGTCATATAACAATAGAGATACACACAACCTGATGATGTAGATGCGGTTTTATGTATTTAGGTTTGCTCAACAGTCTACATGTGTTCTGTGGACTGTGGAGGAAACTTTTCCACATCCCTCGGAGTATCCTCTGGGGTATGCTTTGGGACCATGGTGTGTCTGTCCTATTGCTATTGCTATTACAGTAGCTTGGTGTACATTGCAAGTCCGACTTGTTCATGGTGCATGCTGGACTCCACCAGGGCTGCCCTTTGTCACCAATTACGATCCTACTTTTAAATATCCCACAATTAACCGAGGAGTCTAAGAGTCAAGTGTAGGGCTTGACCTTATGTGTTCAAGACCTTGTATGGAAAATGATTTTAACTTTGATTCTGGATTTCACATGGAGACAATGAAGAAAAGCCAATATGAGAGAAATATAGTCCCAGTGCTCTCAGTGCAGCATTTAACTGAAGGCTTTTTGGGGAGTTTTTAGGACATCCTGATAATAACGAATTACAATAATCCAGTCTAGAAGTAATAAATGCATCAACAAGTTCAGCATCACTCAACAAAGGATGTTTCTCATTATATTAAAGACATTGCACAAATGGAAGAAATCAGTCCTACATATTTGTGTAATATCCTGGTCAAAAATGACTCCAAGATTCCTCACACAGTTACTGGAGGCCAGTGTAATTCCATTTAGATTAAAAGATGGGAAGTAATGAAGTACAAGTACTTTGTTACTGTACTTAGAATTTTCAGGTATCACTATATAAAGACTGGCTCACAGCTGAGCCAGGGATCACACCTCCTCCACACACTACTTTACTTGAGTAAAGTACAACTACTCTGTATTCTGATAACTTTTTACTTTTACTCCCTTCATGTTTAAACAAATATCTGTACTTTCTACTCCTTACATTTTCAAAACAAACTCATTATTTTAGGTTCAACTGTATCATCTATAGCGTTTATAATCCGAGTTAAAATGGGCCGGAAGGGGTGCAGGTTTCCGTAAGTTGTGGTTGCGGTACTTTACAATCTAGCTATCTCTACACAAGAGGAGGAAGCATGAAAAGAGTGCTATTTTTAAGAAACGGGTAATTTGAAGTTCAATGTTTCTATCAGCTCAACAAACATCAGCAAGCACACAAACTGCGTGCAGTTTGTTGCACTGTGTCTGCTAGCTAAAGGAGAGAAAACAGTGCCAGATAACTTCACTTGATGTTGGACGACAGACAGGAAAGGAGAAGGAGAAAGGTTAGATTTAGAGAAAAGTTGAAGTACTGAAGAAACTTCCTTACTCAAATAAAACTGAAAAAGTACAGGCTTTAAAATGTACTTCAAGTACGAAAGTAAAAGTAGCTTTTAAGTAGAAGTATAGATATTTGCATTAAGTAGAGAAAGCCTGTGCTTCTGCCACCTCTGTCCAGGGTAAGCATACGTTAGACACCATATTTCTAAGATTTTACAATACAATTTTACAAGTTCAATAACCCCAGTTTCATCTGAATTTAGAAGCAGGAAATTGGAGGTCATCCAGGTCTTTATGTCTTTAAGACAGTCCTGCAGTTTAGTTAATTGATGCATCTGGGTTCATGGATAAAGTTGGGTGTCATCTGCATAGAATACGAAATACGAATACAATACGAATGACAAAAATTGTATATGCAGGAATAAATAACACAATGTTTCAACTCACTGTAGAGTGTCTTCTCTTGTACTCATGTTTATTAAAAATTATTACCAACATATGCCAGGGGGTCCACTGGGGGTCCTTCAAATTTTGGCCAGCCATTGGTGGTGCCCCTGAAATAATTAGCTAAAACAGCAAGTGATTGCTTTTTAAGTAATGGCTTAATCACTGCCAGTTTAAAGGCTTCTGATACATGGCTCGGTACATAGCCCAGTAATAGGGATATATAGATCATAGTTTAAACTGAAGCATTAATAGACTTCTCAAAGGACTTCTTTGAGCACTCTTGTAAGATGTAGGGGCCTAATGGACATGTTTATGATTTGGAGGAAGTAATTACTGGAGTTAACTCAGAAAAATCAATTCAGAGGCTAATAGATAGAGAGGCTAAATTATCAATAGAATTGGAAGAAGCTGTACATAATGATACATCAGTCAGATGGTTATGAATATTTTTTCTCTAAATAGTCAAATTTTTATTTGTCAAGAAATGTGAAGTAACGACTGGTGAAATGCTTGGCTCGACAGAGTTCTGACTCTCTGTCAGCCTGGCTACAAGGATGAATAGTAAGACTTTCTAGCTTTATGGAGAGCTTTATTTTAAATAGAGCAACAATCTCTTTTTTTTCCAGGCTAAATGAAGATCTTCTAAATTAGTGAGATGCCATTTTCAGTGTTGATCAATTATTAAATCTTATACTAACAGGGACTAAAGTTTAAGAATCCACAGTTTTACTCTTTGGTGCTATATTGTTCTTTCTTTGTGATTTTTTTTTTTTTTTTTTTTTTTTAAATCATTTTTGCTAAAAAGATTTGGTTTGTTTTTGGTGGTCTGGGAGCAACTGCAGTCTCTAAGGGGATGGAGTTTAGGGGATGACAGAAGGAGACAGGCTGCAGAGAGATGTAGACAGCAAGTCTGCTTCGTGATCCCAACTCCAATTCAGGAATCCTGGCCTACAGAGCTGAAAACAGGCTACATTTATTACAAGAACCATTATTAATAAGGGAGGCCGAGGAGTAACTAAACCTCTTGCACATGGAGCAAGAAGGTGCAAGATGAACGGGTGAAGATGCTGTGCTTATAGCAAGTTAGCTATGAGCTAAGCTAAGCTAGCAAATCCCTACAGACACAATAACTAAATACTGTAAATATAATTAGCAGGTGATTTAACAGAGTTTGCTTTGGATAAAGCAGATGGATATTATGAATCATCTGCACTACAAAAATCATCTTCATATTACACTATGAAAAAATATGTTTTCCAAGAGTTTAAATTAAATGGGCTAGCTACACAAAACACAAGAAGTGATAGTGTACCACAGAAAGAGCAAACACCAGGTGAGAGTGCCACCAACCAAGTTTAAGTATCTTGGGATCTTGTTAGTGAATGAGGCGAGAAGAAAGTGAGAGATTAACAGATGGGTTGGGGCTACAGTTGCAGTGATGCAGATGCTGGACTAGTCCATTGTGGTAAAGACAGCTGAGCATTAAAGAAAAGCTCTTGATTTATGTCCCTACTCTCTCCTGTTATCATGAGTTCTGAGTAGTGACCGAAAGAATGAGATCATGGAGGCTAGTGGCAGAAATGAGCTTTCCCCACTGGGTGGCTATCTCACTTAGAGATTTAGTGAGGAGTTCAGTTATCTAAGACTGGCTCAGTTTACAGCTACTACTCACATTGAAAGGAGCCAGATGAGGTGATTCGGACATGCCTCCTGGGCACCTCCTGCATGAGGTGTTTTAGGCATGTCCTACCAGAAGGCAGCCCTGGAGCAAACCCAGGACATGCTAGAGAGATTAGATCTTTTGGGTGGCCTGGGATTGTCTCAGTGTTCTCCCAGATAAGCATGAGAAGTTGGCTGAGAGAGGGAGGTCTGGGCATCCTTGTTTAAGCTACTCCACCAATGACCTGGCCCAGGACTAGTGGAAGAAAATAGATGGATGGAGGAGTAAGACTTGTAATTTTTTAAAGAGGTCTTGAGCAATAGTTCTCCAATCCATCTGAAAGTAGTTTAAAGTTTTTCTTCGGCCACTGGCAGATTATTTTCAGTCTAGTTCTTGTATGTGATCATTTTCAGATAATGTTATTAGTCAAAAATACTTACCACTGACCTGTGAATCACTCAAACATACAGGGAACCTAACATGTATATTTAGACCCCTTACCAGCAGCCTGTGGCAAAAACACACATGTATTTTTGTCACTCTTTAGTTGAATCTACCAAGTAATGCCACACATAACTCAATTTGACAAGTATAAATTAGCAACTTCTAAAGAGCTATTAGCCTAAATCTTGCATATCCCAGCGTGATTTGCAGTCTATCCTTAAAAAACTGAAGAAACTATCTGTAAGATGAAGATGAACAATATCTAAAAGTTTATGTCTTCAAGAAAAAGGGGAAAAATCCAGCAAAGACCTGACACAGGACCTAAGTAATATATCTAGACCCTCTGTTGTAAAGCCTTATCAGAAACAATCTTAGTCGTTGTCAAGAAGCCATTTTTAAGGAAGGAAAGACTGAGGTGTGTTACACAAGACCTGTACTAAGAATCATTGGCAACAAATCTGATGGAGTGATGAATCCAAATTGTTGATTCAAATATCAATATCAATATATATATATCGAGGAGGTCAGGAGTTTGATGTGTACAGCCATTTGTAAAACACAGTGGAGACTGCATTTCAGCCACTAGTGTTGGATATTTTGTCAAAATTGATGAAATCTTTAGCACAGAGAAGTATTGTAGAATTTTGATTGACCAAGCAATATCATCAGAAAGAGTCTGATTGGCAACAACTTTATTTTTCTGCCAGATGATAATCAGAAACACAGTGCCAGAATACCTGGATGGGAAAATACAATGCAACTCTATCAGTCACTGATAGTCTGATGAAGAGCTTTGTGTTGAGTTTTCTTGTAAAATATATAAAAAGAGGGGTGACCCAAGACTTTTGCAGGGCACTGGGAATTCAGTAAGAATCCAATAAAAGGAAAGAAAATGAAATCAATTAAATGTGGGCAGCGCTGCAGTGTTGATCACTGAGGGTCTTGGATTTGCACCACCTTCTTTTGCCAGTGTGGGCTCTCTATGTGAAGACTCCTTCCACAATCCAAATGCTTGTCTCTAAATTACCTGTTGGTGTGAATGATGGTCTGTCTCTCTGTGGTCACCTGAGCACGGGATAGGCTGCGGTCCCTACATGTAACGCCTGTTTGAATTCAATTTAATTCAATTCAATTAAAGTCACCTCTAGGCGCTTTATATTGTAAGGTGTTTTTGTTGTTGTTTACATTGTCATATTAATGAAGGTGAATTTGAATTCACAGGAGGAGAGCATCTTGTATGTGAATGACTACTCTGATGGCCCCACTACCTTCGCCCAGCTGGAGGAGTATCGTGATGAGCGTGGCCATGAAATGTATGTCCTCAACAGGGCCAAGCCTGTGCTTCCTCCTGCTCCGCCAACAGCTGTGTCCACCACTAACCTGGGCTGTTCAGCACCATCCGATACCTCCAGCCACACCCTCTCCTCGGGCCCTGGCCAGACCATGAGCCCCACCCTGGCCCCTGATAAGCAGCAGCAGCAGGATGGTGACATACGGACCATGAGGAGAATGGCAGGGGAAGGAGGGGAGGCAGAGCCCGTGATCACATTAGAGGCAGAAGGAATGTTTCTCAACCACACAGGCCTCTTCATAGACTCTCCCATTGCTTATGAGATTCACTGCTAAAGGAAGAAAGCAATCCTGGAAGACAGAGCAAAATATGTGTGTGACCCAGTGGTTTACAGCTCAGCCTTTCTTGTTTATGGACTAACAGGAGGCCATTATTGGGATGTACCAAAAAAGGCACAGAAGTACTTTTCTGTGTGAAAGGATTTTCCTTCTGCAAAACTACACTGACAAATGTTAACGGAGTCAATTCCAGTACAAAGCAGAGCTCAAACTCTGTCTGACCTCTAAAACACAGACATACTGTGATGTTGTTTGCCAAAAAAGCGAGTAGGTGAGTGACTCGGTGGTCAGTCAGAGGCTCCTATACTCCAAGACATTAACTACAGCTTCACTGTCCTGCACATGATTAACTTTTACACATTTTAGCATTACTGGTGTGCTAACATCTGCCCTGTCAAGACCTCAGAGCTCACTGGGAGGCTGAGTACAGGAAAGAGAGAAATCATGGCCCCCTCCGGTTCATGAATATGTGGGAAATCTGTGTTATATAGCCTAACTGCTGTCAGTGTCTGGAAGTTTTAATTTAATCCCAGGGTAGAAATACAGTGCATTTTGTAATTATATAACTGTGTAGAAAAAGGTCAGTCTGAGTTTTATTCTCATTCCCTCTCATCATCATTTTACTCATCTGTGTTGCTTAGTGTCCTAACAGACACAAAAAATGAATCGCTCCTCTCTGTAGTATGAACTGAGCTCAGTTTACCCCAACTCTTTTGGATTTATCCGTCTTTATTGATACTAGCATGTGCGGTTGGGAATGAATCTGAGTTGCTGCTGAGTTTTCCAGTCCACACGGAGGCAGAGTTCTTAGCTGAGCAAAAAACATCAGCTATACGATACGTATTTGACTGCTTCTGAATGAACGAGCTGCTGTGATTGAGAAATAAAGTTTTCAAAGCAGAAAGAGACAAGGCTCGAAAAAACAAGAAATGAAGCTACCTGACTGAATGTTTTTGCTTTTAAATGATCACGTGTGAATTATTGTTGCCTTTATAAACTGAGAGAATCTTTTGTCTCTTTTCTCCTGTTCCTTTGATCTGTTTTTATTCTAAACATGTAGTCTAGCTCTTTACAATGATTAGAACACAGCTACACATTATTTTCGTGGTATACTTTGAAACTAACCACATACTCGGGGCATGCTTTCATTATCTGAATTGACTCACAGTTCGGGTTAAATGACATACACTCACCGTGACATGGATTTCATGGTAATTTGGGGCTTTGAATTCTTTGAGCGGTTCGTTGCGCGTGGTGGAACGATTGTACAACACACATCTTTTAAAAACAGAAATCATTTACATTTTGTAGTAAGCGATGTTGGAAGTCCTAAAGTGTCTTTTACTTAACAAAGCCAAAGCCTATTTTCGTTAGTGATCATGACAAACAACAACAACTAGTTTCTTTTTGCCATCATAAAAATGTTTTTTTTAAAGAACCAGTATTTAAAACAATGGGGAAGTCTGAGGAATTCAGTGAAGATTTGAGGAGAATTTATATTTACACAAGTTAGACCCATTTTTAAACAACTACACATTCCAAGGTCATCATTTCAAACATTTGTACATAAGTAGAAGTTATTCAGATGTGTCACCACTTTGCGAGGAAAAAAGCCCAAACTGTCACCTTCAGATGACAGGAAATTCCACAAAGTCCACAAATAATCAACAGATTGGCGTCCTGTCCTGAATCACATATTGATGCTTATTAGAAGAATGGGAACATTTTTTGCAGTTTACAGGGAACAGTCCAGTCAAGGAATAAAGTTGCATCTCAGAATAATCAAGGATGGACAGATTTAAACACTACTGAAACATTTTAGACCCTCCTACCTGCACACTGAGAACCAAGGGATCTTTCAGGAAGAGTGATATGTTTGTAGAAAAACCTACCATGGCAATGTATCCCAGTAAGAACAGACAGATCTTTGCAATGTAGAAAACCCAGCTGCACAATGTAAATCACCTGGTTACTATAGCAATCCGCACAGTCTTGGTTTATGATACATGGCCCTTGTGTAAGTCCACAGAAATGTGGACAGTTATGAAAAGTGCGATTCAATTCCAATTGAATTTTATTCAATAAAATTGTATTTATTTAGCACCAGATCACAACAACCACAAGGTGCTTTATATTGTAAGGTAAAGATCCCACAATAATACAAAGAAAACTCAAAAATCCAATTACTGATTTCTTAATGGTAGAGACTAATGAGGTTCAGAAGTGTGTAAAATTCTGTGTAAAACCAGTAAGATTTTAGGAACCAGTGGTTTACGTTGGCAGGATGTAAATATCAGAAAAATAAAATACACCAAGAAGAAACAGACCAGTCTGCTGATGCTGTCTACTTATCACCTTCCTAACTACTTGTGTTACACTGCCTCACAGACTACAGCTCAGTGTTCAACACTGTAGTAAATGCACTGGTTCTTATATAGCGCTTTTCTACTCTATCTGAGCACTCAAAGCGCTTTACACAACTAATTCATTCCCCCATAAAGATAAGACAGCGTACAGAGCGGAGGTAGATGTTGTCCCACCGGTGCTCAGAAAAACCTGGAGCCAAACATCCTTAAAACAAAAGACTCCTATGGGCACAGACAGGTCCCCTCCCCTCTCTTTATATGGAGATCAAGTGGAATGTGTCTCCGACTTCAGGTTTCTGGGGCTCACATCTTCGCTGAGCTCACTTTTTTCATCTGTAACTCCCGTAACACCTGAACCGTTTACTGAACTGGAAGAATTCCAAAGGTTCAAGAAAGCAGTGACTCCGCGCTTTTCAGGCGCATTAGGGTGATTACAGTAACCCCAGGCGCAGTGCTGCAGCAGCAGCGAGATTTGGATGTGGCACTCTACCTAGATTTATCGCAATGACCCTAATATCACTGAAAAAGCACAGAGTTGGTTTTAGGAACCATTTTTCGATTTCGCCAGTGGTTCAAGTGCTCAAGCAGAGTACAAACATGTACCAGTCCAGTTACCCCAAGCCCACTGTATCATATTAACATGTATCACGGTAATACAGCAGTGTCCGATTCTTTAACCTGCAAGGACCCCTGGTTACTTTTTTATGTTTTTAAAATGGCCCTTTTGGAAAGCTGTATGCTCATCAAAATATTTATTTTTGGTGTGTTTTACCTGGCTGAGCACTGAGCAAGTCTGTTTAGCAAGTGCTTAACATTTAGTGCATTTGGTCACTGGCATCAAGCTTACACAAGACAAAATTCCCATTTAGCAGCATCTTTTAGCTCTTTTAACATCTTGCGCGGGGGGTTAATAAATTAGTTAGATAACTGCCATTGTAGAAATATACAATGAACTTGTGTTCAGTGACAACAATCTGCACTGGATAACAAGTATCTTTTTGAAAAGACACACAAATGTGTCAAAAAGGTTGTTTCAAAGTGCTTTATGCTGTAACTACGTTGCAATGCAGAGTCAGCCCAAGGCATTACAAATACGAAGTGCCTGCTTAGGGTCCCTGAGGACAGAGGGTTCATTTTTGCACGTGTGAGTGATAATTCATATGTTAAAGGTATCAGTGTACAAAAAAGGAGTATTATGCAAACAGAGGAATGTTTGTGTAGCGATTTGTCCTGCCCCTCCGCTCTGAGCTCTGCTGGTAATGTCCAACGAGCAGGCTGAAGAACAAAACAATGTTAGAAGAATATATCCTCTAGGCACAAAGTACGGAAGAGGATTGGGGCTACTGGGGGAAGAAAAGTGGGCACATCTTTTTTTTTTCTTTTCCAGAATTCTGACATTAATTCTGACATTAAAGTCAGAATTCTGACTTTTTTCTCAGAATTCTGGAAAAGAAGAAAAAATGCCCACTTTTCTTCCGGTGGCCCTAATCCTCTTCCGTAGCAAAGAAAAAGAAGAGAGGGGGAAAAATAAAAACAAAAGCACAAACAAACAAACACCAAGATAACGGTAAGTTTCCTCAAGTTAGGGAAATCTCTGTATGAATCATTGACATTTTGAGCCTGTAATTGGCTGTGAAGCAGGTCAGTAGGGATGGACGCTCATACTGACTTTTCAATTCCGTGCCGAGTTTCTGAAGCACAGATATTTCAAAACACTGCTTTGAAGTGGGTTTCAAAACCCAGGTCACATGATCATGACTAAATTAGAGATTTAGACAGGTGTCTTACCTGCTACTTCTAGGCAGTGCTTTGTGGCAGGATTCCTATTTTTAAGAACCAGGGTTGTTTGCATTTACTGAATTAATGTTTTTGATAGTATGACTGCTATTTATTACACGCACATGTATAAAAGAAAACAACATCTTATCTCTCATTATAATTACTGTGGACTGTGATGACCAATACAGACTATTGACTATGGACTATTACTTAAACACTGGAATCCACAGTTTAATGAAATAAATATTATTTAATTATACAAATAGTAAACAAAAAAACAGCAAACATTTAATCACAAAAGTCATGAGAAAAAAGTCGTATTACTATTCATTCATTCATTCATTTCATTTATTTGTTCATTTCCAGGCACAACAAATACCTATATTGAACATAAAATGCACAAAACAAAAAACAAAAATTGCCTGAAAAAGGAGTGAGACGAAGAAAACTTATTAAATCCCACCCCTATACTCACTCATCAACAAAAAAACAAAAAACAAAACATAACAATATACTTCCCACAGCTACGCCCATTATTGCATACAGTCCCATCAACAGCCCCGGGCGCATACAAGCATCTAAACGGCAGCTCGCAAACAACAATTAGAGCCTTCATAACTGAATACAGAATATATAAATTATAAATTACATTACCACAGGTAACAGGCAGAATAACTACAAGTAACAAACACACATACATATATATCTACACACACATGTACATATATGCACATACATACGCACACTCTTTTTTTTTCTTTTTTTTTTTTGAATCCATACCAGCAATGGTAAGAGAACAGACATTACAGAGCACACTAAAAAACCATCATTGAGTATACTGTGACCAGACCAACTGTTTGTAGAGAAATTTAAATCTATGAATATTTTTGCATTGTTTCAGTTGTAAACTCAGACTGTTCCAGATTTTCACACCACATACAGACACACAAAAACCTTTACGGGTTGTTCGAGTTCTGGGTAATTTGAATTCTCCAAAGCCTCTCACATTATAAACCTTTTCTCGAATTTCAAATCTAGTTTGTAAATTTGCCGGTAAAAGTTTAGTAAAAGCTTTATACAAAATTATGGATGTATTGTAATTAACCAGATCCTGGAATTTAAGTAACTTTGCCTGAAGAAAGAATTTGTGAGTATGATCTAGATAACCAGCCTTGTGAATAATACGCAGTGCTCGTTTCTGTACTGTGACTAATGGATTAGTTGTATTTTTATATGTGTTTCCCCACACTTCCACACAATATGTAAGATATGGAAGACTATTTTTTTTTAAAAAGTCAAAATGTCATGTAAATGGGTGTAAGCATCTATATCCTTTGCAGTCCACTGCCAGCCACTTCATTATTTTACAAATCCACTCTTCCAAGTTTGTCTGTTTATCCGTCTCAACAGATCTTTTCAGTGTGCTTACACTCATCCCCAGCCTGTGTTTATGTGCTAAAAGAAAAGTCATTTCCTTCCTCTTTTAAAGTACAATTTCGCTAACTCAGAGGGTATAGCAACCATGGCAATTTGTCTTGAAACAACAACTGTAATTGCCACAATTTCTCAAAATAGATTTTTAACTTTAATCTTGAAATTTCAGAACAATATATACACATATATGTATTCCGCCTGTGCGGAACTCATGATGGGTTCCAGCTTTTGGCCAACACCTGCGAGACATCCTCTCACCTGCTGCTCATTATCTCAGCATTCCTGACACTACTGTGGGGCGATCGTGGCTCAAGAATTGGGAGTTTGCCTTGCAATCGAAAGATTGCTGGTTCGAGCCCCGGCTCCCACAGTCTCAATCGTTGTGTCCTTGGGCAAGACACTTTACCCGTTGCCTGCTGGTGGTGGTCAGAGGGCCTGGTGGCGCCAGTGACCGGCAGCCTTGCCTCTGTCAGTGCACCCCAGGGTGGCTGTGGCTACCCTGTAGCTGCCATCATCAGTGTGTGAATGTGTGGATGACTGAGTGTGTAAAGCGCTTTGGGGTCCTTAGGGACTAGTAAAGCGCTATACAAATACTTAAGACAATCGATCGACGCTGGATCGTTGTGCCACTCGCGTCAGTGTAGCCCCGGCTCTAACTAACTGTTTCACCCATCTGTGTTTGCCTTCAGTCTAATCTGTGTTCTCTTTATGAATAGACCTCCTACACCCATCTCTGTTCTTCCCTGGAAGTGATTGTCATTGAGTTTGTGAGTGACTTGTCTGCTGTGATAGACTCAAAAATTCTAGTAAAATATGACGATCAACTAGACTATTACAGCAAATGGTCCATTTGGGAACGTAAATGTGTGGGGTATTTTTTGGCCTTCAGACAACAATTCTGATTCTTACATTGCTGGACAGGAACAAAGAAAAAAGTGGAAAAAAGCCTTTTTTTATTTAACTTCTGCTGGTGAATGAACCCGTTTTGTAGTGTGGGCGGTCAACTGGCTTTAAAAGGTCAATGTTAAAACATGTGACATTATGGTTCATTAACAGACTGTACTTTAGAGTAGGCAAACAAAAGCAGCCATTCAACCTGAAAACCTGGCAATGGTCAAAAGCTGGCATTGTAAAGCAAAGGAACAACTCTAACAGAGAAAGAAAGAAAAGAAAAATGCAACTTAAAAAAATGTCATACGTTTTCTGTATGATATTTAAATCACACCACTCATCCGCTGCCAAAGATTTTCTTAATGAATAATACAAGCTGTATCGTTACAGTATGTTGCAAGTTACTGAATAATGAAAAGCGATGGTCATAAAATGGCTTTCACGGAGGGTGCGCAGGTGTGTTTGTTAGAGTGGACCCAAAAGGGGGGGGGGGGGGGGGGGGGGCGGGGGGGCGGTGTATTGACTACAACCTTGAACCTTTCGAGGTTACAAAATGATGGCCAAAAATCTCAGCCTCGTGATTTTGTTGACTTTGTCAGAAAGCATGACATTCACACACTGCCGTTTGTGTTATAGTAACATTTCCAAAGTAGATTTTAAATGTAACTGTTCTTTGTTAGTGTTAATAAGTTTCCATGAACCCAGTCATTCATTCTGTATGCAG